TTGGCTTTGGATTTGGGGATTCTAGATAATTCCCTACCTCCCCTTTCATTCAGGCCTAGGGACCTTCAGTTTACTCAGGATCATGTTTATGAAATCCCCCATGGACTAGGGACCCCTTTTCCTGAAGTAGGTGGAGCAGCTGCTCCCACTGTCTTCTATAACTAGCTGCCCTTCCATCTTGCCCATTGTGGCTAATGGATCTGAGTTGGAGCTCCAGGGTGTGGAAGTCCCCACGCCTTGAAATACTGAATGCTGAGGGAGGGAGTGGGAAAGGCCCTCCAAGGTTCACAAGGGCCTTCTGTGCCTCAGAAATGACCAGGTAGGTTGTGGGACCAGCTCTGGTGGCAGCCTTGGGATGTACTTGTTTATTATTTGCTGTAGGTCTCCACCCTATCCCAGCTGGGAGTTGCCCTTAGCCTCTTGCTCTCCTCCCAACACTTGGCTCCCTTTTCCCACTAGAAGACAAGGCCTCTTCCCCAAATTTGTCTTAGTTTCCCTCTCCCACCCCCAGGTGTTTCCCCTGGTTGTTACTAACCAACATTTATGGACCAGTCAGACTGGTATCCAAAATAAAAGTATCCTCCTAGTTCAATAGCCTCACTTGTTCCCTTGGCCAGCCTCAGCGCCCCTCCTGGGAGCTTGGGAAGGCCATCAAGGAGACTCTGGGTTAGGGCTGGCCTGCTGGGGAGGAGGCCAGAGCCCTGTGTGGTTTCAGAGTGCCCAGGGAAGGGCAGAAGGGAATGAGGTCCAGTCCTGCCTTTCCAGGCCTGAGGCCTGTGTCCAACACCTTGCCTTTGGAGGGTGGTGGACAGGGCATTTGTGTGGCTGTCTGAAGGCAGACAGTTCCCATTGCATGGAAGGATTCCTCACATTTTCTCCCTTTATCCCTCTTTGTGGCTTGGCACAAAAGACCTCCACGAGCACCTGGGTCAACCACGCCATGTGCAGATGAAGATAGGAAGAGCCAGCAAGGTGGCCCAAGTGAGTAGTATGGGCAGAGCCAGTATGGCTACAAAACCTAGCATGGCCTTGACACCTGAATGGCCTGTTCTCCTGACCGTTCAAAACTTACAAGGTAGTTTCCTGAACTTGACATCACATCTTTCATTTCTATACTTTGCAAGACTATGACCTCCAATTCCTCCACATGAGATGAAAGAATAAACTCCGAGGCAAAAGGATTGCGGCCCATTTTCATGGGGCCATATGTCAGCCTTGAGAGACAGGGCCTAAGTCCTCTCCCTTTATATTACTTACACTCGCTAGACTTTGTCAGGCATGCAGTCAAACCGAAACCAGATGTCTACTAATAGAGAGGGTCAAGGCCAACTGAGGTCTTTCTTCTTATTCTTCTTATTATTTTATTATTTATCATTTGTTTTTAAAACTTTGAGTTCCAAATTCTCTCCATCATTTTCTCCCCATCCTCATCCCCTCATTGAGAAGCAAGCAATTACACATATATTATGCAATTACATATAGTCATTCAAAACATGTCATCATAGTCATGTTGTGAAAGAAAACAACATAGACCAAAAAAAAAAAACAAAAAAACTCAAGAAAAGCAAAGTGGGAAAAAAATTGCTTCAAGCTGTGTTCAGACATTCTCTCAGCCTGTTGCGACAGAACTTTCCTTTAACTTTCCGGGTTGTCTTGGGCAGGAAATTTGTTTCATTCTGTCTTTTTGTGCTTTCTGCTGCTCTAAAATTTGTTTAGAGTCATTTTTACGGGTATTTGAAAGAGAACTCAAGCAAGTCCCTGTTTTCACTCCACCAGCTTGGCCCTGTCCCCCCAAATATTTCTCCTTCCTTAATCTGTTGGAGAATGGCAGTATCGCTGGGACAAAGGGACATAATGTAATAGTATTTGGGGCAAATTTGGACTGTTTCTTTTTCAGTCTCCTTGGCTGGAGTTTCATCCAGGTCACACTTGCTAAACAGAGGTGCCCCCCAGAGCTCTGTAGGAGCTCTGCATTGAAGGCCCAGGAAGGCCTACTCTAGACCTACTAGATCTGGTGGATTGTCTTGAGATAACTGTAGGAATCAGGTTAGTTTGCTTTTCTTTTTTAATTGTCTTTTTTTGTCTCTATATTTAGAAGCAAGGAGGCATAGGTCTATTATCCTCACTCTCTCTTCTTTCCCATTGACTGGAACACCTGGGCTAAGGATGAGCTCCAGACTACACTAAATGTCCCTTAGCTAACCTTGAAGTTATGTTCTTACCCTAATTGTGCTTTGTGAGAGGTTGCCTCAGTGCAGACATTGTGGCCAAATGACACTGAAGAGAGAATCCTTTCCTTTCATTACTTTATGTAAGGTGAATTGTTTCATCCTGCAGGTGGAAACTGCCCTATGAAGAAAGCTGTTTTCAACCTCAGTGGGAAAACTGTATGATCAGACTCTGAGCAGTTTCCCTCCTCAGGTAAAGAAATCTGTTTGCTTTTATGACATGAGGGCAGAACTGCATGCCATAATAATGATAATGGACAACTAGCCTCACAGGTGACCTGACGGTAAGGATCCTGGTTTTTTTGTTATTAGTGTCCTACTTTTTGTGACTCCATTTGGGATTTTCTTGGCAAAGATACTGGAGTGATTTGCTATTTCCTTCTCCAGCTCATTTTATAGAAGAGGAAACTGAGGCAAACATGGTTAAGTGACTTCCTCAGGGTCACACAGCTAATAAGTGTCTGAGGCCAGACATAAACTCAAATCTTCCTGTCCCAGAATTCTAGCCACTTTACCACCTGGCTGCCCAAGGGTGTAAGCCAGCTGCAAGAAATGACCAAGGAGAGGCTTTCAAAGAAAAACCAGAACAAAAGATGTTCACCAGGGAACAAATAAAGAGAAAATGACTTGGTCATATGATGAGGGAGGACAGGTGCCCTCACAATGTTAAAGAAGTAATAACCATAACCTGCCCATTTTGGGGTCTCTAATGGGAAATTGATTGGAGGACAAGGACAAGAGTGAGATGGAATAGGCAGACATTAGCTATAATCTGTGCAATTGGAAGTAACTTCTGATTCAATGACATCACAGACCTAGCTGAGTATTGAATGGTACATGGTGTAAGATACTAACCTAAGCCTATTATTAACTCCAGCCCTATTAAAGGGTACATAAAAGAAATGATTCAGGCATTTTGGATCCACAATTTAAAAAGTCAACCACTGTCATGTGTTGATTTAAATAAGTTTTGATAAAAGATCAGTATCCTTTTGTGTTTAACAGGAAAGTATAGAGAGATTTTGAATGCTGCTTAATGAGTATTTGTAAATATAAAATTATTTGAACATGTGACATCTCCATCTCAAGCCCTTTGGTAATGTGCCTTATAATGATTGTAAAAGGATGACCTTTAAACCTTGGCGCATAGAGAGGTATTGAAAGTTAATTGCATTAGCCATCTTTATTTAATTAAAGGTACAATGTGCTTTTAGCAACATCATTTTTTTTTTTACCATTTTCATTAGGAAGTAATTGAAATAGCACTTTATTTTTTGATGGAGTTAAACTCTGTCTTCTTAGAGATGGATGAACTATCCAACTGGTAAACCCTGTGGAGTTCTCATTTTTCTTTTAATAACTTCTGAATTTCTCCATCATTTTCATCAAACCAATACTGATGTTTGGAGTTTTCTCACCCAGATGTGTAAATACTAAATTTTTGAGCAGGTATGCATATTACCAGGGCTGCTTTTGGTATTGGGGTAGACTCAGTGGCATTTAATTACCTTTCAGAGAAAAAAGAAAAAAAAATAAAGCTAGAAGCTACCTTACTAAGGTTGGAGCTGACTTAAGTCGCAGTCGATAAAATGCAGTTCGCCTAAAAATACCATAATAGTGACTTAGTTAAACAACATTTGAAAAGTTGATAGATACTGAGCTGTAAAAATGCGAAAGCTAAAAAGAGAACACAAGTTACCAAAGTCCATAAACCAGGCAATGAAACAAAATAATGTTGATGAAAGGAAAAAAGTTAAAATAGTATAAATGTGCTCTAAAACAAAAACATCAGATAGTAATAAAATAAATTCTAGTAAAATATCCTATTATAAAACAAAACAATCTTTCTACGTGCATTTTCTGCTGTTCTAAGAACCCAAGATACTTAATTTATAATACTCTTCTGCTCTTCTTTAAAATTTTGTTTTTAATAAAAATATTATGTTTTACTGAAGTGCTTACTCAATCACATATCAATAAAATACATCAAATAAATACACAAAGCTATCGTGATATTTGAATGCAAAGAGCAAGAAAAAGCAAAATGCATGTAAAACTTAAAGAAAAAAGGACAAGAGTAAATTTTCTTTTTAAGTGTTGCACATTGATTAGTGTATGTGATACCTGAATTGTATATAATAATTAAATTGGAAGATTGTTATTCACTGATTTTGTTACAAAGTCACTTGATTCAATTCAAAAAAATTCAAATTATACTTTAAAAAGTTTCTAATTGATTCCCAGGAGCCAAGATGATGGAATAAGCAGTAAATTGCTGTAGCTCTTCCATATTCACCTCCGAACAACCATAAAATAGTGCTCCAGAACAAATCCTGGAACAGTGTAGCCCATGGAAAGATGGGGGGAGAGGTCTTTCAGTACCAGAGACTTGGAAGATTGGCAAGAAAGGTGCATATTGGGGCAGCTAGGTGGCACAGTGGATAGAGCCCCAACCCTGGAGTCAGGAAGACCTGAGTTCAAATCCAACCTTAGACACATGATACTCACTAGCTGTGTGACCCTAGGCAACTCACTTAACCCTGATTGCCTTGCAAAAAAACCCACAAAAACAAAAACAAAAGAAAGAAATCCTTAGAAACAGGGTGGATCAATGAGGATTTCTAGATAGGAGAGTAAAGGAGCTGTGACATTTGGGTTTGTGGGTAAGGTGGCATTAGTAAGAGAATAAAATTGGGTCGTAGGACCCAGAGCAATGAATTCAAAACTATTCAGGTTTTCTTTTACTAATTTCCCCTGAATGTCTGTTGCTTCTCATAGCTTTGAAATCAATACAATCCTTTTGAATTTAACTATAAAAGCTTGTATCAATTGTTTTTTCCTCAGGGTGTAAATAAAGGGGTTCATTACTGGTGCTACTGAGGTTGCAAGTACTGCAACTACCTTATTCAAAGCCACTCTTTCTTTTGCAGATTTGATATAAGTGAAGATGCAGGTTCCATAAGTAAGGGAGACAACAATCATGTGGGAAGAACAAGTGGAAAAGGCTTTTTTTCCTTTGCTGGGCAGAAGAGAATCTCAGAATAGTCCTGACAGTATAGGCATAAGATAGAACCACTAACACTAAGGTGATGATGAGTGTCAACACAGCACACGCTAAAATCATTCTTTCTAGGAACTGTGTATCACAACAAGTGATTTTCAGCAGTGGTGATGCATCACAGACACAATGGTCAATAATACTGGAGTCACAGAATTCTCGCTCAAGAGCCACACCAAGTGGTGGAAGGATGATCATCAACCCAGACAGCCAACAACCCAGGAGGAGCTGGTTACAGACTCTGTTGTTTATGATGGCTGTATAGTGAAGGGGTTTGCAGATGACTACATAGCGGTCATAAGACATGGCAGCCAAGAGGAAAAATTCTGAGTCCCCAAAGATGATACTAAAAAATATTTGAGTGAAGCATGCATTATAGGTCACAGTATAGTCACCAGTTGACATGTTGTACAGGGATCTGGGAATACAGACAGTTGTGAATGACAATTCTAAGAAGGAATAATTCCTAAGGAAAAAATACATGGGGGTTTTAAGGTGGGGATTCACCAAAGTCAGGATGATGATGGTCAAGTTCCCAGTTACACTTAGCATGTAGGTCAGAAACAGAAAGATGAAAAGTAGAACTTGCAGCTGTGGGTCATCTGTCAATCCCCAAAGAATAAATAATGCTATCACTGTATGGTTTCTCATTTCTGACCACTGTCTTTGATGGATCTGTATATAAAACAGAGAGAGAGACAGACAGACAGACAGACAGACAGACAGACAGAGACAGACAGAGAAAGAGAGAGACAGACAGAAACAGAGAGACAGAGAGAGAGACAGAGAGAGACAGAGAGAGAGTGGAGCTAAGAAGAGGCATCATAAAATGAGTCAGCAATGCAATTTGTATATGAATACTCAGAAGTCTCTCTTAAACTTAGTTGTTTTATTTTTTTCTTTCACTGGCTAAATAAAAAAATCATGCCAATACTGCACTATCCTTAATGACTTTGAGCTGTGTATCAGTTACCGAGCATAACATTTTTTAAAGACTTTTGTCCCCAACATATCTTTCTTTATTTCTCCCAGTTCTTTGCTTCCTCCCCATTCTTCCCAAATCAACCTTAATTTGTATTATTTATAAAGATTGTATTGATTTGTTGATTTCTTTTGTTTTTCCACCATAGTCATGTCCAGATACACTTCCTTCACTGAATACCGTTGCAACCTAAAAAAAAAAAGTTAAGCAAGACCAACACAGTGACCATCTACATTAATGTTTGCCAATTTTTTTTTGCCTCATTTCTAGTTGCCATATTATTTTGATTGTGAACCAACTTTTCTGCATGCTTCTCTCTTACCTTAGAGTTAGTTGGTGGCTCTGTGGATAGAGGGCTGGGCCTGGAGTCAGGAAAAGTTGAGTTCAGATTGGGCCTCAGACACTTCCAAGCTGTGTGACCTTGCACAAGTTACTTAACCTGTTTGCTTGACAAAAGAATCCTCTGAATCCAGTAGGGGAGGAAATGGCAAATTCTTCCAGTTTCTTTTATAAGAAAACCCCATTTACAGCATGATTTATTGGGTCCTGAAGAGTTGGACATGACTGAACAGCAACTTTGTTCCCTTAGATCAACAGCTGCACTCTTCTGTACTTCCTAGCTGTCTTCTGGTCTTTTTATCTGTGAGAGATTTCAAAGAATAGAAGCGAAGATTAAGCTTAAGAAAAATCCCAATTACAAAAGGTTCCCATTCCAGTTTTAAGGGGGTTTCTCTCCACTTTACAAACTATTTCATAATGTTTTCCCCCGGATTCTAATGCTTTTGTCCCATTTCCTTCTACCTGCTACCTCCATTACATCCTGGCACTGGATTCCCTATTTAATTACTCTTTCTGCAATGAAGTAACAGAAGACCTAAAAAATGAAACCTCAGTAATTAAAGAATAGCGGATAATAGCCTTTTGCAAAGAACAATTAGACTTTTAGACGGGGATATATTATTATTTGGAAGAGGCATTGGAGTTTTGGGAAGTGGGGGCAATGCGTGTATAACTCCACCACGAAGACTGCCATCTACTTGGCTTCTACAGAAGATCGACTTCAGTGGGGAATATTGGCAATTGACATTTCTCCCCTGCTGTCCCTTTCGCCCCAAGAGCCTTCAGGAAAGAGCTCTCTCTCTCTCTCATGATCTTTTTAGAAGTCATTAGACACTTTTGAATGATGGCAACAATGGGGTCTAAGATTCAGCTGGGGACAGGACACGGAAACTAAACCCAATAGCCTTGACTCCTGGTCCCAAGCCTGGTCAACACATAGCCCTGTCCCTTCTGAATGGGGACCAGGATGTTCTACAGAGAGCCTGCCTGCAGACAGACCCTGGTGATTGGCGATTTGTGGAGTTATTATTTCTGAGCTGGATTTTATCTCACAATATGGGCTAAGTGATTTCATGGCTCCTGACCAAGAGTCCAGCCCTTCTGGCATCATCCAAGGAGGACCACCCTCTGTGTTCTCACCAATGAGAAGGGTCAAAGCCCTGCAGACCTGTCATTGGCTATTTCCTACTCTGATAACCTATTCCTTTCTGACTCAGCGCCTCCCAACCCTCAAGTGCTTTGTCAGTGACCACAGAGGGAAAAGCTAAAACACCTCCTTGCAGCCAACACCCTTAAAGTGGATGAGACAGTCACCTGGACTGTGCAGCATGAGTCTTGGAGGCCTGCATGCAGATGATGCACAATAAATGTTTGTTGGATTGGATGGAGAGGAGAAGGAGAGACAGGACATAACTCTCACATTTCAGGCATTACAACATGCCCATATGTAGCCTGAGTCCCTTTTCCCAGGGCTTTCATCCCATTTACCCGCAAAGGCTCCCCTTCAAAGCTATGACTTTCCAACTTTCCTTTGGTGGCCCTGTCCCCAAGCCTTTGTTTGTCACCCCCTTGCCTGGATGCTCTGAGAACTCAACAAGCTCACCATAAGCCAGCGAAGGCAGAAGCAATAACCCCAAGACAAAGAGGAGTAACGTCTTCAGAATCGACAAGCTATATTTAATGGAGATGAAGGAGGAATTGTTAGAGCCTGCCCTTCCCCACCCCAGGCTCCTGTAAGACCCTTCCTGAGGGGCAAGTGAAACAATCAAAAGGGTGGCTCCTCATACACACACACATACACACGCACACACACACACACCATGCTTCATGGCACCCAGCATGTGGAGCACTGGGGCTTTATGGAGAAGCCTGGAGGTAAAATGGAAGGGGAGAACGTGGCCTTTATGAAATGCATTCACATTGTTATGAAAGGTGACATGCTGCCTTTGAGATGTGTAGTGGAAGGAGTTTCCCTATCAGGGCTCCATCAGAACTGTGTTAATATGCTACTCCTGAGTTAGGTAGTCTTCTTTTTTCTAAGTCCTTACAGTACATGTAATTTTGTACTTGGAAGAGCTGCAGGAAGAACCACTGAAAAGGCAGGAAGAATACCTGCTAAAGCCGGCTAGTCAACCCTGGACAATCTTATGGACCCAAAAATCCAGAGCAGGGGTGGGGAACTTATAGGCATCAAGGACATCTGTGACACTCTAGGTCCTCCAATGTGGCCAAAGTTCACAGAATAAATCCCCTTCAGAAAAGGATGTGTTCTGTAAAACTTGGATTGAGGCAAAAGGTTGCACCCAAGGACCTGGAATGCCACTCAAGACCCCAGGTTCCCTACCCCTGCTCCTAGACCCAGCTGTGGAGGCAGCCTAGAAATCTAGGAATGCTATCTCACAGAGAAACTGCAAGAATAGCCAGGCTACCTGGAGGACTGGGAAGAAAATTCTGGATTTGAAGCCAAAGGAAAGATTGTCCCTGGAAACTCAGGACCATCAGCCTAGCAAAGGTGAAGTCACCAGAGTCAGTTGAGATCAGAGGCAGGAACTACTGAGGGGAGAGCTCCTAAAAGATACTCAGGAAGAGAATCCCACCTGTTGTCAGAGCCAACCCACTTCCCTGAAGAGCCAAGCTTAATGGGGGCTGGCCTGTGCTAGTGAATGTTGAACAAAAAGCCTTTAGGGAGGTCAAGGCACACACAAGCCACTTCTCCCATCATCTTCTTCAGTGGAGACACTCAATCGAGCCCTGAATGGTAGGTGACTATCACAAGCAGTTTCCAGCTGGTTCCAGCACATCCCTGACCCTACTTGACTCTGTCATAAGATTCATTGTATAAAAATCTGAAAAAGCTGAAAACAAACATGGTAAAGCCTATGGGGAAATTGATTTCAAGGACAGTGGAGTCCTTTGGAGCTGTGGATCTTTAGCAGGCCCCAGGGAGGCCTCACTGACCTGGTTGACACAGAGAAGTCCTGCAGGGAGACAGCTGTGGTCAGGCAATACCAGGTGTTATCAAGGCACCAGCAGAGCAGGCCAAAGAGTCAACCTGTAAAAGTCCCAGAAGAGGGATTCAAAGGCTTCACCCTGCAAGCCCATCATGTCCCAGAGCTAGCCCCTTGCCAGCCTGCCAACTCTGCAGCCGCTTCTTGCTATTCTGGTCTCAAATACTCCCAAGGCTCTCTAGCTGTGCTTAGGGATCTTTCTCTATTAAGCCCAACTCCACACACTGTCCTGGAGTTACTCTACCCGGGCCCAGCGGGCCCCTGCATAGGAATTAGAAAGGTCTTCCAGATGCATTGCAAGGATTGCCCTGGACACTGTGCCCACCCATTGGCAGAACCCACCTGGAAAGTTGATAGCCATTAGCAAGAAAGAGCCAACTTGGGATGCATCATTCTTTAGGGTGGATGCAGAGCCAGGCTGGTCCAAAAGTGAGTGCCCTGCAGGGAAAGGAAGAAATGAGGATCCACCCAGAAGGAGAGGCAAGTGGACCTTGAGCATCCCCCATTATCATACTTGAGGGCTTGATCCCTCCCACCCTCCAAACCCCTATCTGGAGCCAGACTGCAGAGTTCTCCCTTCCTCTTATCTGAAAGATACATGCTCCCCCCCATTTATGGGGCAGCCTTTGCAATCAATGAGGCAGTGCCTGGGGGATGGGGATCCAGGGGGGAGGAAGTGATGCCTACCTGCATAGTCATCCTCAGAGAAGTATCCTGAGGAATACCCACATGTGTTATAGGTGACTTTGGCTAGATGAGGGGCTGGTAAGAGGCATTTCACCCTACTGGACTTCCTCCTCAGAGTCCTGGGGTACAGCAAGCATGAAGAGCAAAGATATGAGGGTGAAAAAGATGAAGGGTGAGAAAGAAAGGTAGAGCGAAAGGACAGGAGGAGAATGAGACTTTCCTGGACACTTCAAGGATGAAAAGAAATGATACCCAAAGCTGTCTTTTTTCTGTTCCTAGTCCTTAAACAGATAAATAATTTTTCATGTCAGAGGCAGGATTGAACAAAGGCATGGCAACCATGGGCCAGGGAGGGCCTTTTTCCAAATTAAACCACCATGATGAGGTATGAGAGGAGCTAAGAGCCACCTGAACCTGTCTCCTCACCCACAGACCCTACACTCACATGGCTTCCTGTGCTTTTGCTGGGCCCTGCGGCTCACCCGAAGAACCATGTGCATTGGGGCTAGGAAAAAGAGGTCCATGGTTGAGAGGGGTTGTTCCCTGCCCAGCTTCAGGCCTCAGGGTTTGCAGCCTTCTCCATGCTCAAAGTTGCCCCTCCCTACTTCCTCTTCTTAGATAGTGAAAGCAGCAACAACCTAGGTTGATGGTGCTGGGGA